TGCCAAGGGTGCAAGGGACCCTAGATATGCCTCTGAGTGCAAAGGATTTTCTCTCTTAACTGTGCATGATATAAAGGACTTGTATTTGAACAAATTGTGATGACTACAACAAGCTGACTTGTAAAGGACATAACTCTTCTGTTCTATGGAATGCTCCACGTAAATGTAGTCAGACTTCTCTGACTTGACCTAAGTCATACTGCATTGTGCATCCAGCAGAGGATTATCAATGCAGTTAACATAACTTAAGACTGGATAGGCACAGCCGGTTAATCATTACATTGGAGCAGAACATGATAATGCCTCTGTGCCCTCAAATGGGACACTTGTTGGTTCATGAACTTTGAGGCATGAAGTCACTCCCTTGTCAAACAATAGATGCAGTAGGAAATGTGCTGCTTGCCCCAACACAAACAATATGTTGGGGTGCTGATCTTGCCCAAATGTTTCAGGGAAACTGGGTGTCACCAGCTGATCTCTTTTGTAGAATAATCATTGCTGATAGCTTAAAGCTCTGGGGATGATCTGGGCATTGAGTTTCTACTCCTCCTCGTTTGAGATGCCATAACTGGTTTCGTTTTGGCATTTTGTCCAGATTTGATAGGCAAGTGCATTGGAGAGGAGGCCAAATACGAAGGCATCAGACTTCTGTTTGATGGACTGCAGCAGCCAGTGCTCAACAAACAGGTAGGTGCTCTTACTCACAGCCATTCTTTATCATGTTTTGAAATGACCTCCTTTTCTCTTCTGCTGGAGAGAAACCAGGGCCAAGGGCTGGTCTACTCCACTTTCCTGTTCTTACAGTGGTCAACTACAGAAAGCTTGCAAGCCAAACATGAGCCCAGAAGCATTCTCCCCATTTGTGTTCCCCAGCAATTGCTATTCAGAGGTGTGCTGCCTTGGGCAGTGGAACATAGCCATCATCGCTAATGATAGCCTTCTCCATTATTTTCTCTAATCCAAGTTGGGGGCCACTGTTACCTGCTGTGAGAGCAACCTCCAGTGTTTTTACTTGGTGCTGCATGAAGAAGCCCTTTCTTTTGTCTGTCCTGAATCGTCTGACATTCAGCTTCATTGGATTCCTCCATGTCCTAGTATTACAGTGGAGTGAAAAAGGCTTTTCTATATTCACACCATGCACAAGTTAAACACCTCTATCATATCCCCCCCCTTACCTTTTTTTCTAAACTGTCCTGCTGCTGCACGGCTTTAGATCCATTTCAGTCCAGTTTCTGGCCTGGTTTCTGGACCGAGACGGCTCTGGTCACCCTAGCAGATGATCTTCATAGACAACTGGATCGAGGCGGGTCAGGACTGCTGATTCTTTTAGATTTGTCAGCAGCTTTTGACATAGTCAATCATGATCTTCTGGACCACCGCCTTGCCGACATGGGGATTCAGGGCACTGCCCAACAATGGCTGCGCTCCTTTATCTCTGGTCGGGGACAGAGGGTGTCGCCAGGGAGGGAGATGTCATCGCGCCACTCCTTGGTGTGTGGAGTGCCACAGGGCGCAATCCTTTCCCTGATGCTTTTCAACATCTTTATGTGCCCCCTCGCCCAGATTGTCTGGAGCTTTGGGCTGGGTTGTCACCAATATGCTGATGACACTCAGCTCTATCTGCTGATGGACGGCCACCCTGACTCGGCCCCGGATACACTGACCAGATGCTTGAAAGCTGTGGCTGGATGGCTTCGTGGGAGCCGACTGAAATTAAATCCTTCGAAGATAGAGGTCCTTTGGCTGGGTCGGGATGGCATGGGGTTGGGGGACCAACTCCCTTCTCTTGCAGGGGCTCAATTAGTGCCAGTGCCTTCCATTAAGAGTTTGGGTGTAATCCTTGACGCCTCCCGTTCACTGGAGACGCAGATTGCAGCAACAGCCAAGGCAACATTTTTCCATCTTCGCCGTATCAAGCAGTTGGTCCCTTACCTGTCCCGCCCCGACCTGGCCACAGTGATCCATTCGATGGTCACCTCCAAGCTTGACTACTGTAACTCGCTCTACGTGGGGCTGCCCTTGAAACTGTCCCAGAAACTCCAGTGGGTGCAGAATGCTGCAGCTAGGCTCCTCACAGGGTCCTTGCCATGGGAGCATATTCACCCAGTGATCTACCAGCTGCAGTGGCTCCCGGTGGAGTATAGGGTCAGGTTTAAGGTGCTGGTTTTGACCTTTAAAGCCCTATACGGCCTAGGACCCTCGTACTTATAGGACCGCCTCTCCTGGTGTGTCCCGCAGAGGCCCCTAAGGTCCATGAATAATAATAGCTTAAAGGTCCCGGGCCCTGAGCAAGCCAGACTATCCTCCACCACGGCCAGGGCTTTTTCAGTGACTGCTCCGACCTGGTGGAATGCTCTGTCCCACGAGACTAGGGCCCTGCAGGACTTGATCTCCTTCCACAGGGCCTGTAAGACAGAGCTATTCCACCTGGCCTTCAATTTGAATTAGCCTGATCCTCTATGAAGAAACCCTTTCTGGGACCCCACATTTAAATTCTTCCCTGGTCTCCTTGCTGGCCCTAGTAGGACCAACTTGGCCAGTTAGCCCTGGTGATCATTCGATGTCTACTGACTGGGTTTTTTTCCTTCCAAAAATGACCCCTGAATTTTTGAATTTTATTGATGCTGCATTTTATGCTGTTTTCTATGCTGTTTTAAAGTCGCATTTTAATCAATGTTTTTACTTAAAAACTGAGCCCAGTTTTTAAACCGGGAAGGGCGGGGTATAAATAAAAATTATTATTATTATTATTATTATTATTATTACTATTATTTTGGACAGAAATGCCAAATCTGTTATATTGATGCCAAAATAAATTCAAATAGATGGCAGTAAGGTAGCTCATGGGATGTCAGTAGGTAGCTCATGGGAGCATAGGCAGGGAGGATGGGGGTTATACAGTTTTTGGCAAGATCACTTGGGATTTGTGATGCTGGTGCCACCCCAGCTGTGGCATGACAAAATTCTTCTCTGTGACACTTCGGTGCAAGGTTAATAAAATTTGCCACTTGAGATTTGGCAGAATGAAGGCACTAGATTACTGCCAGCTTATCTTGTCATGACCAGGTATTCAAAGTGGCATGTGTCAACAAAAATAAAACCTTTTAAACTACCGTAGTTTGTTTTAAAAAGGTTCCATCTCCTAGTATATAAGCCCTTAAAGGTTCATTTGCATCTGGGTGGGGTTGTACTTTTCTGTCAAGTGTACTGTGGGAGTCCTTTTAGGTTATTGTTTGGGATTTGTTACCATGTAGGTGGCGATTCTTCTAAGCGGGGGCTTACTAATCACCTACGGTCGCTGTAGTCTGTATTGCTAATTCCAGAATGTAATTTATCTCTACATTTTATTTTAGTTAACATATGTTCTACTAGATATTGGGATTCAGGAACTATTTCCAGAACTGAATGAGGTATGTTGTGACACAAAGTCATATTTATCTGTTTTAGTTGCCCTTCATGAAGGCATTGTGCTCATAATTTTAGTTGCTCTTTATGGTTCTCAGCTCTGTTATGCAGTCTGTTCACCATATTAATTTTAATAGTGATATGTATGCCATTCCTTTTCTAAAAGAAAACAAAAAACCTAAGTTTTTTCAACTAAGCTATGGCACTGTTTCCAGCCAACCCCCGTTCTCACCCATAAGCCCCAGCTGATATTAATGGAAATTGTGCAAGGGGCTTGGAGCTACTTCCACTCACTGCAGTGCCATTTTCACAGAATATGCTGGTATACTGTGCCCCTTTACTCATCAGTGCATAACTGAAGATTGTGTTTGTTGCTACATCAGCCAGTTTGAAGCTATCGTTTCAGAACTTTGCACAGGGGACTTTAGATTTCACCATCCTGAATGGTTTTTGTGACGAACTGTGTTTATCTCAGTATTCCCCTGTAATACTAGAGCACTTACACATTACACAACTTCTTAATGCATTGCTTTGAGCTTCTACTGTAATTATATTGCCATTCCATAGCTGGATAAATTTAACTCACAAGTATTTTCTCTTTCTCTCTTCCCCAATACTGCTGTTAACAAGTTTAAAAGTATGCTTCCTCCGGATCATAGTGGATGAAAACAACAAAATACTGGATTAACTCCTTTTTATAGATAGTTGCTATGTGCTAATTTATTGAATAGGTCATGTGTTTAGTCTTGTACATTTCCTTGTAAATAGAATGAACTTTGACTTCAAAAAAAATATATTCACTGAAGAAAGATTAAAGTTTATTACTGGCTGAATTTCAGTAATACCTCACTGTCTTTCTTCCCAATAAATAATACAGGCAACACCCCCCTCCCCAAAAAATATTTTTTTACGCAGGGTAAACGTTCCAAGGCACTGCATAGGTAACTGAAAACACCCAGTTCCACCCCAACCATTTTTGTGACGTTTTCAGGTCACTTCTGGGTTTGGCACAGTGTGCATATGGCGCGGTTGCGCACCTATTGGACTCGTGTGAATGGGGAGTTGCCTGTATGAGGATACTAGCGTTTGCCATTTATTGAAGATCCTATGAAGGACCAAACTGAAAGAAGGTTCACACTGACTTACACATATTTTTTTTTTAAAAAAAAACCACCTTGGGTGGAAACAGCTTTTACCCTCAATTGGCCAGATCTAAATTTATGCCAACCATGACAACATAGCTAGAAGTTACAGCAGCATTGTACAAAGACTCTTGCAAGCTCTTTGGCTTGGGTAACATTTTGCAATATGCCCAGCACTCAGGGTGAAGAAAAACAACTTGCTTCTTTTTGTTTTTAATTTTCTAAAAAGTGACGGTATGAAGAACAAATATACATATCAATTATATACATAAACATAACTCAGTTCAAACGCAGTATACATAGAAAATACATTAAACCTTATTGTTGAATTTTATGTCCTTTAATGGCCATTCTGCCCTCTCGGAAGAGTGGAAGTAGCTGAGATTGTCTTTTAAGTATTAAGAAATTTATAGAATGCAGAAAAAGTCAAGTTCCCCTGCAGCAAGTGAAAAACTAAAAAACGAAGCACAGAAGTAAAACAAATAAAACGGAAATCAAAGAAAGATGTCCTTGGAAAACAATTCCAGCAGAAAACCTCACACGACCTTCAAGCGCTGGAAATACCCTTCCCATTCTAGTTATGTAGTTGGAAACAACGGCGACATCAAGATCACCTATTTAAGAAAAGGAAAAAGAAACACCAAAGTTCATTTCAGTCAAATCATTGCAGCATCTTAATCACACCCAGTTGGTCAACATTCTGTAACTACGGTGAGTAAATAGTTTGTCGAGCTGTGTTTTCTAGGCCAAGCCACTGTACCAGAAAAGAGATTTTGCATCTTTTTGCCACCTCCTATGATGACCTCCTCCTGGAAGAGTCCTCACAGCCTCTTGTTCCCTAGTATGCATTCCCTTTTGTAAAATATGCAGTGCTCTCTATATACGATTAAAGCAGTGACATGCTACAGTAGATGCCCGAATCCAAATTGTAACATGCTTAGGGTTTCTGCACAGGATATTAATTGGCTGCTCTTTTGAAATGAAACTCTTTAGATTTGGTATTCTGTTTTAAAGGCTCCATCTGGAAGGCCCTACCCTCTTTAAATGCTTTTCCTTGCATTGTCACCAATGTCCATGCAGTTGCTCCTACACCAGGCCAGATGACGTGTGAAGGCTTCTATCTATTGTCTTCCTTCTCCATGCTGACTTGAACAAACCACACAAGCAACACTAGAACTCTAGGGAGGTCTGCATGTGTGATTGGCATGTAAAAAGACTGGCACAGGAGCAACTGTGGTGACAGCAGTAACCATGCTAGGAAAAGCCTGCGTAAAACTGATCTGACTTTAGAAAATTCTTTTGTATGTCCAACACATAAATTCAAGATCAGCAATTTATTCTCTTGCTTTTCCCATTCTCTACTTTTGGATGAACTCCAAAACCAACCTGAGTTAAATATTTCCTGTTGCAGCTAGAATAAATAAAGGTTTGCCTAATAGCAGCATTTTCCACACTCATGGGAGAGTGGTCTCCTACAGGGACATTAATTCCAATATACATTCTATGTGCCATATTACAGATCGCCAGGAATAACTTATACATACCACTACTGTGGTTATTTGAGCTTCCCTTTAGCATGTGGTATCCATCTCCTCCTCCAGCAAGGAAAGAAGGTAGAAGCACTTTGTATGTTTTTTCCAGCTGCAGTGGTTCATAGACTGGTACTCTACACTCTGTGCAAAGAACCTTTAAGCTGACCACTCTGCTTCCCGGACTTTCTGAAAGATCATACACCACCTGTATACCTATCAATGAAGCACAAGTTTGAACAGCATTTTTAGACATCAGCTCTTGCATTCTTTGGGTCTATAAAAACTTGCTTGAAAAAATAATGACGCTGGCTCTTTGGAAGTTCAGAACCAGAATAAACTGATGCGAGCACAACATTTAACCACAGGACAGGACCACACTGCAGTGGCAGAGCAAGGGTAGAGCACATGCACTGCATGCAAAAGATCCTTGGTTCAGCCATTGTGAAACCTTCTGCTATTCCATAATCTAAAACCTTGGGAGCCATTGGCAATTACTCAGTGCAGATAATACTGTGTTGGGTGAAGCAATGATCTGTCTGGGTGTTATTCTGCTTCCCATGACACACTGGATTCCAAAGCTGAATGAGTTAGGTAGCTGTCTTTCCTCCAACGATTCCTCCAGTGATCCCATGTCAAGCACACTCTATAGCAAGGTAGTACCGGAGGATATTTTGCTTTAAATGCATTTAGTTTCTCCACAAATGAGTGTCTATGGTGTATAAAATTGAAAACTAATCAACAGATCCAGAAAACGGCATTGACATACATAACCACAAAGCATCATTTTTTGTTCACGTCCAATGGACTTTATTCTTCTATATAGGTTTTTTCAAAGACTCGTAAAGCTGGTGGCTCACACAAAGGCAGCCAAACACGTATAAAAATATTCTTGTTCTAAATGTGTGTGTGTGTGTGTGTGTGTGTATAGGGTTGTGTCCAATGTTAGTCATACTCAGAGTAGGCCCATTAAAATTCATGGACTAACCTTAGTCATATTCATTTCAATGCATCTCCTTCAAGTAAGACTAACATTGGATACAATCCATAAAGTCACAATAATTCCAGTGAATTTGTTGATGTGGTCTGTGACCTAAAATCCCCACACATGAAGTAGCTTTTAGTTATAAGAATTTTATTTTCATTTATTTCATTTATTAAATTTCTTCATTGCCCTTCATCCAAAGATTGCAGGACAGTTTACCATCTAAAAACACAAAAATATAAATAAGCCACAAACAGTTTAAAATGCCACAGGTAATTTAATTAGCCGGTATTAATATTTATATTTCTTTATTGTGGGCCTTTCTGGTGAGATCTCCCACCTTTTCCCCCAGAAAAAAAACCATGGAGGCAGAAACTAATTGGCAGCCGGTGTAGTTGGGACAGAATTAGCCTTATGTGCTCAACTTGTTTTGCCCCGGTGAGCAACCTGGCCTCTGAATTCTGCACCTGCTGAAGTTTCAAAACCATCTTAAGAGGCAGCCACATGTATAACGGGTTGTAATAATCTAACCTTGAGGTTACCAGAGCATAAGCTATCCCTGGCCTAATAGGGACACAGCTGGGCCACCAGCCAAAGCCGACGGAAGGCACTCTGTGCCACCGAGCCCACCTGAGCCTCAAGCAAGAGCAATGGATCCATAACTGCCAAGCTACATACCTGCTCCTTCAGAGGGAGTGGAACCCTACCAAGAGCAAGCCACCTCCCGTCCATCTGGTCTAGGGGACCGCCCACTAACAGTTCCCCAGGCTGGATTGAGCTTCATCTTATTGGCTCTCATCCAGTCCATTATCAAGGCAAGAAGTCCTGCTTAGTTTATTTGAATAGTGTCGTAAGTACAATGGGGTTTTGTTTTTGTCTTAATATGAGCAGTATAGTAATTGTGGCTCGTGCTTGTTTTTGCTGCTGGTGAGAGGGCATCCAAGCTAGAAACATTTGTGTACTGCTTGCTTGATGAATTGCACCACCCTTGTAAGATAAACCTAACCCTGGGATGATCTCCTGCCTGGTTCCACCACACCTAACCTTGAGAATGGAGCAACGTTCCAGATACGTCGTTGTTTTAAAAGCAGAAGCAGGTAATCCTCTTACAATACTCCTTTGTGAGTATGTGTGGGTTTAGGCCCTTGAACAGGCAACGCTGGCAAAGTAACTTACCTGAGACCTGCAGGAGTTCCCCTGTCCCTTCCCCATGTCTGTAAACGCTATGTTCAAATGCTTCCTTCAGAGTAGAGCCTTTGATCTGCAGCAAATCGAAAGTTCCTCCAAAAGGCAATACGGACAGCAACTCTTCCAAAGTAATAGTTCCTGAATGGGACAGGACGTTTCATAAAACAATCGGTTTTGTGCTCTATTTCTCACTTTAGAAGACTATGCTATTGTAGATATAAGCGGTAGACAAGAGAAGGGCTGAGTTCAAACCCCTGATCAGCAGTGGAGTTCACTGACTGCCTTCCAACAAGTCACAATCTTGCAGTCTATCTTACGGCACAAGCTTGTTGCAGGGACTGTAACATGAGAACCTTGCTTATGCCACCCTAAATTCACAGGATAAAGAGTAAGAATATTATAATAAATAAATATGTTTCTGATAGTTCTATCCCCACATTTATCAGAGTCTCCGGGCAGCTTATAGTATAAAACAAATAGGAACAATCATATAAGCATATAAGCAGCAGAATCCCTTGTAACATGTGGAGAGTCCCCAGGGCAGGGCTACCATGTACAAGCTTATGGCATGGGGATTTTCCAAGTGAGAAGGACCCATTTGGTACGGATCATGGTATTCTTCTCACACGGAGACACTGCCAAGTGTTTCACAAGCCTTTGTATGAAAACAATAATCATTAAATTGGTCCCCAGCGTTTCAGCATCCAGAAATGTATATTAGGTATATATCTGAATAGGTGTAAGATTCGTTTTAAAAGCATACGCTAGAAATGTATGTATGTGTGTTCAATGGGGAGGAGAAAGTCAAATCTTGAAAAGCATTGTGAAATATAGTAGATAAGCTCTAAAATAAGAATCCCTAAAACTAATTATCTTATTGAGAGAAATGTGGGGTATGAAGAGGAAATTTTAGCAGCATTCCCTTGGGGAAGAAAAAGCCCTAAAGCTAGATATACCATTCTTGCTTTGTTCGTCAATGGGTCCCCGTATTCCACCACCATTTATGATGCACATCGAAACATGATTCCATTGCTTATCATCTGGATGTCTCAGGTTATTGTAAACCTAAAACGTTTACACACAAAAAAAATTCTATCAGTTTCAGTCTGCGCTTTATCTCAGCTTCAAGAACTTCAGGAAGCCAGCAAAGGAAAAGATCTTATAAAGTGATGGGGGAAGGGGGAAACTGGGATATTATCTAGCAACAAATCGTTTACTTACACAAATAAAACAACTGTAATTAAAGACTACAGAACATTCATAGTAGTATACTAAAAATCATTTATATCAATGGACTTGGTATGGAATCAGTATAGACTAGAATCCATTATTTATTTCCAACTATCCCTTATTCTTTATCTAAGGAATTCAGGCAATGTACAGGTTCTTCCCTCTCCCTCTTTTACCTGCCCAACAACCCTGTAAAGTAGGCAAGGCTGAGAGACAGTAGCTAGCTCAAAACACCAAGTGAACTTCATTATGAGTGGGGATCTGAACCTGGAGCTTCCCGGTCCCAGCCCAACACAGACTTGTGGAGATCCAATATGAAAAATTTCAGGTTTTTTTTACATGTGCTGTTATTCTGGGAAATGCAAGCATGGCATTTTTCCCCCCTGTTGAAAAGTCTACAGCTCTCTTTTTCTGCTGTTGTATTTCTGTTTCACAATTAGGGTTAATTTGGTGGGCATGTGCGTCTATAATAACAGCAAGTAATCTTTGGGGATTTCTCCCTGCTTACAAACTGAATACTAAAGCTGACGTCGTAGTTCTTACAAGGTGCACACAGGCAAATGTATTGTTACACACCACCTCCAATCTCCACAGAAGTGTGAGATTTCAAGGGGGTTCCAAGATGAAGTATGTTGTGGGGAAAAGCCACATATACTGTCTTGAGCTCCCTGGAGGAAAGGCAGAAATTTAATAACTAAATCATAACAAACTCACATTTGAGCATGACCAGTGGTCAGAGATGATGGGAGCTGTAGTCCAATGGCACATGGAGACTGCAGGTTTCTTATTCTGGCTGTCCACAGTTTATTGTATTGACTTTTTACACTTCAGTTTTATATAGCGCTTATTTTTTATGATGTATTTTTACAGTTTACTGATTTTGTATACCTTTTTGAATATTTCTTCAATACAAAGCAGTATATAAGGGTTTTTAACAAATCAAGAGTGGTGGTTTTAAAAATAATAATTCTGAGGCTGAAGTCCTAAACATAACTTACGTACAGCATTAAAGAAAATGGGATTTACTTCTAAGGATCACTCTGTAAACCTCACAGAATCACTTTTAGTTTTCCAACTAGCCTGTGTAAGAATACAACTGGGTATCTTTTTTCCAAGAACAGCATTGGCAGAAACTAAATTGCAATCTGACACAGGAACATTAAGTCATTAATGCACTGCATATCAACTGAAAGATGCCCTAAACTAATCTGTGGTCAATGTTTAACTAAGTCTACTAATAATTAGCTGTAGAAGGGATATCATTCTCGTCCAAACAAATTAGTGCAATCAATTAAATATGACACCTCTCCTAGTCAATGATTGTTCATGAATCTAAGCAAAGTAGCCTGTACAAACAAGTCAAGTAGTTTTCTATGGAGAGCCCTTTAGACACTTCCGTGACAGGACGGTAATGCCTGGTCAACCTAATTAATTGTGCAAACCTTATATTCAGTTTTTTACAAGGCAACTATGGAAGCCCAGAATGAATCCTCTTTCCTTGGCTGCTTTAGAGGGTCGCAGGTGGCGCTGTGGGTTAAACCACAGAGCCTAGGACTTGCCGATCAGAAGGTCAGCGGTTTGAATCCCTGCGACGGGGTGAGCTCCCGTTGCTCGGTCCCTGCTCCTGCCAACCTAGCAGTTCGAAAGCACCTCGAAAATGCAAGTAGATAAATAGGTACCGCTTTGGCGGCAAGGTAAATGGCATTTCTGTGCGCTGCTCTGGTTCGCCAGAAGCGGCTTAGTCATGCTGGCCACATGACCTGGAAGCTGTACTCTGGCTCCCTCAGCCAATAAAGCAAGATGAGTGCCGCAACCCCAGAGTCTGTCACGACTGGACCTAATGGTCAGGGGTCCCTTTACCCTTTACCTATGGAAGCCCAGAATGAATCCCCTTTCCCTGGTTGCTTTAGAGGTTACTCAACCAATACAGTAAGGAAGTTTGCACACTTAAAAGAATATCCTGAAGGCTAGTCCACCTACTACTCCAAGATTTAGCTGTTCACGTGTAAGTGACTCACAACTGACAGTTCTCCCAGTCCCTTGCCACCACAATCTCTCTCATTCTTTGTAATTTGGTATATTCTGGAGTAAATAGCTCAGTCCAAGAGCTGCTGCACACAAATACATCTTTACATGGTGACAGTCTCCACCTGTTGTGATTTAGAGCTATAAAAAAATGTGATGTGATGCCAGTACTCACATATTGATGAATGTGCCATGGGTGTCAGCCCCAGGCAGCAAAAGGAACTGCCAGTACTTTATAATAGTGAGCAATGTCACCCAAAAAGACCTGTATGGATCCTAAGAAAAATTTCCCAGAGGCAAGTCTTGAAGGAAAAAGAAAGACATGCAGAAGTAAAAGTCCAACACCTCTATAAAAGCTTGGGACTTACAGCTTTCAAGCTGTTTCAGGCTTTTGTCACTAGTGAACAATTAGCTAATTCTACAGTTGTGCAATCAGCAGTTTCTGTTCGATAGGTTCAATGTCCACAGGAAGGACTAACAAGACCAAAAGCATAACAATTTCATAGCCAGCTGAACCCCAAGTGAAGATAAGCAACCCTGGCCACAAAACCACATCTTTCATATAAAAGATAAAGGTAAAGAGCCCCTGGATGGTGAAGTCCAGTCAAAGGCGACTATGGGGTTGTAGTGCTCATCACACTTCAGGCCAAGGGAGCCAGTGTTTGTCCACAGACAGCTTTCTGGGTCATGTGGCCAGCATAACTAAACCGCTTCTGGTGCAACGGAACACCGTGATGGAAACCAAAGTGCATGGAAACGCCATTTACCTTCCTGCCGCAGCGGTACCTATTTATCTTCTTGCACTGGCATGCTTTTGAACTGCTAGGTTGGCAGGAGCTGGGACAGAGCAACGGGAGCTCACCCCGTCATGGGGATTCAAACCACCAACCTTCCGATCAGCAAGCCCAAGAGGCTCAGACTTTATATGAAACACTTTAGACTTTAAATATCAAATAATGAACCACTTAAAGTAACCTGGATTATTATCTTACCACAGCATCGCAAATTAAATTTCCCATGTTGCACTCTTGAAAGCGACATGCTTGACTTGTACCATTTAGATAAACAATCGTTTTTCCTATTTCCCGGGAAGAATAATTTTGTAGTTGAAGATGCATCTTGTCAACTTCTGCTTTCACATCCTCAGCTAAAAAAGAAGTAGGGCATGTTGAAGGTTATTACTGGCCAGGCGACTGATGAGGATGGCATATTTGTTTATCTGCAGCACATTAGTTCAGGGTTCTTTTCAGACTTGCACTCCAGAATACTCCCAACAAAGTTCCAGCTTGCAATAGTTTGGATCCAAAGGAGTCACACAGCCAATAACTTGGTTTTCTTAAAAGCAGCCCTCCCCTATTCTGTGCCATACAGTATGGCTAACTTCTTTTAGAACCAAGCAGACTTTCAGAAGCAGATGTGATATATCAGAATCAGGTTAAAAAAAAAAGGTCAAAAATCAAATTCCCACTAGTTGTGTCCAAACCTTTGGATGTGCCTAGAGTAACTCTTTAGAACCAGTCTTAAGTTTGGGGGAATATGCTTCTGGGTTTGTTTGTTTTTAAAGAGAGTGTATGAAATTATATACTTTAAAACAAGATACTTTATATATAAATATATATTTAATTTATAGTGGGCATAATGTGAGTTCATAGCCATCCCGCATAATTTATTTTAGAAAAGGAAAGAAGGCTAGATCCTGAGTTCTCATAACTGGAGCAACGATTACCACATAGTCCCTGCAGGAGGGAGATGATTTTTCACTCATTTTGCCCGCATGCTCTGAAAAAGCTGCTCTGAAGTGCTGAGAGACCCTCTGGAACAGTATTCAACTTGGCACCAGGGGTGGGGAATACAGGAGGAAGGGAGAATCTGCAAAAATCATTCCTCCCCCTACAACAGGAGACTCCACCGTATTTCAGCCCTTTCTACAAAAGTGAGGGAGCTGTTCCGTTTGTGGAAAGACAACTCTGGATCCAACCCAGAGTAAAAGGAGGAGGAGCAATGACACGACACATGACATCATGCATTATCTAGTACTTAAATTAGGTAATCATCAATGTTATAAATAGGCAACCTACAGGAAACAAAATTTCAGATCTCCTTCCCATACATACCTTCAGGAATACTGCTGTTTAATAAGATAGGGTTTCCAGATGCTCTAATTACATTTCCTTTGTCGTCAAACACAACGTTCAAATAGCCAAGGTATTTTCCAAAAGCATAAGCTTGAACAACAGGAACGTCACGCCCATCATCGGACTTCACCATAAATGGATATTTACCAGCTGGTATATCATTTGAAGGTGGGGTGCCTGTAAAAGTGGCCAGAGAATGAATGACCTTCCCTCCCTTCCTAGCTTTCAAAGGAAGTCCTGAATACTGATGAGGCAAGCACATCAACTGATGGGGATATTTAGGGTGCAGAAAGAAATTGCTTGTGTGTGAAAGCAAGAAACAAGAAAGTTCCCCTTTCCTCAGCTCCTACTCAATTCAGCAGCTGATCAGGGGAATCAGAGGCTTCCACTCTGCTCACCAGCACTAATTGTGTTTTGAGAATTATATATATATCACTTCTATATACAATACACTTCTATTTGGGTGTAATCCCCAGCATTAGTGATTTAGGATCCAAATACACCTAACCTTAATAAGACAATTAGCAATCAGGCTGTGCATTTTCAAAAATGTAGCTTTAGCTGTTTTGCAGTTGTTTTATTCTTAGCTAATGTTAGTCACCCTGAAAAGGTAGGGAAGGGAATACATAAATCTTCCGGCACCATGTCACACTTCACATCTTCAGGGGCAAAGAGAAATGAGGGTCAGGAAAAGCCTTGATGCACACATGCACTGGACATCCACATGATCCATCCCTTTGACTCTTGGCTTTGGAATATGAGAGCTTGGAGAAAAACATGTTATTCTTTCCTAACAGAAAAATAATAAATGGTGAGATGTAAGTCCCCAAATGGGAAGGTGAGCTTTTTTTCTTTTCAATTACCTCACGTGCACTGTTTGATTGAGATGCTGTGTCACTAAACACACACTTCAGCAGAAGTGGTTTGTTGTTGCTTTTTTAAAAAAAGTTTCCTTTTATTTCGCTCCCACATTCCTTTTGCTAAAGGCACTATGTTTCACTGCAGAACATTATCAGTGATTAAGACAATAAATATATTTCTGACTGAAAGTGTTACTAGGACATTGATGGGTGCACTGAAAACACTGCCACTAGATTTTATATTCTACACCCAGCATCTCGTTGCCATGAATGATTCTTTCTGAATGCAGGCACTGATCTCTCTACTTGTCTCAGAACTAGACTCCTGGACAGCTCCCAAATTCACTCATTAATAGTGCCAGAAAATGCAACATGTAGCTGCTGCTGGTTTCTCAACTTTCAACTGCAACAACAAAATCCATTTCAACAGCAACAACACAATTTGGAACATTTCAATAGGCTAAAGAGCCTGTAGAGTCTAAATAGCTCCACCTCCAGTTGTGACAAGAGATAAAACTTAATAATGTTCAGGCTTCCTTTTATCTCAGGTATTCATATGCTGTTCAATATTCAGAGTATATATCCTGAGGGACAGCTCAGTCAGCAGAGCTATGGGTTCAGTCAGGGATGTGGGTTCGAGCCCCACATTGGGCTAAAGATTTCTGCATTGCAATGGGTTGGACTAGATGACCCTTGTGGTCCCTTCCAGCTCTATGATTCTAATATTCAGAGGTTTGTCAGCAAAGTATAACAGTATCAGTCACAAGCACAATGCTGCATGTTCCAAATAGGGAAATTAATGTAAAGGCTAGGCTTGGTGCACTTATCAAAATGTTAGGTATGCTTTTTGGATGTGTATACTCATGTATGTTCTTTCTATGTCAAGTAATGTATTAGTGAACTCATCTTCCTTTAAAAAAAGGCTTCAATGCTTCTACCCAAGCTTCTAAGAATAAACTCTCTACCTTTTCTTTATAAAGTGCCTTTATAATTCTACAGAAGTTTTCAATCCCTACAATGCATTATGAACGATCTGTAAATGGTGTGCATGAGAATGAATGTTTAGCTTAGTAAAGAATGCTCAGACCAGGAAGGAGGCAACATGCAAAGTTAATTTTATCAGAAAGTCTGGTATGTAAAACTAAAAAGAGACACACTTCAGCGTTTGAGGTATCTCATTTCCTATTGATAAACAACAGCACAGCACCCAGCTACACCCTTATAAGTAAAGTAAGTGTGACTTCTGCCCGGAAAAAGACCCCCAAATCAGCACTGGTGTCACTAGACTAATGTCAGTCTGTGGTCAGAGTAACAAAAGTGTATGATACAGAGTGGCTTGAAGAACATAGAGCTGAGAAACCCTCATAGCTGGGAAAAAGTATATGAGATCCTGGGTGAAAGACATAACCTTTGCCAGATATGTGTGTGTGAAATCTACATCCACCTGGAGCAGCATGACTCATCTGAGCACAACACCCTGCCTGACCTCAATGCCTCCTCTTCAGCACTCTGAACTCCTAGACTGCCAACCTAGCACTAAGAATACCCATCTCTGTAACTACACCTCTTGCAGTTCAGGGGTGGGGCGAGAGAGACAGAGAGACTGTACCTGCAAGCTATTTTGTTTTCGGAACTGTATTCACTAAATGCGGTTTTACTCGTTTTTGAGGTTGGGCTCTACACACACCAGTTTATATAGTGAAGAATGCAAAGGAGTGGGAATGTATGCATCCATAGTTATTGAATACACATGTACACTAAAACATTAAAGTAGCAGGACAAAGGCATTAGCATTGCCCATGCTAAGGACAACTAGGAAATCAAAATGTTTTCAATTTGGCCCAGCTAAAGGCAAACAGAACATCCAGGGAATCAAAATCTATCCCTGCTAGAGACAGAAAGAGGACCAAGGAAGGAAATAGATTTCTATGCTCACGTTTAGGCAAAAGGGAAGCCACTGGGATGAGATTCTTACCCATTTCAGCAAAATAAAAATAAATCAAAAGATTGGGAAGAAATTCTAAATAGGAATCAGAGCAAACTATGTTCAAAAGAAAACCCAAAGCATCACTCAGCTCCATCAACTTTGCCTTTTATAGTCAAATCCTCCCTATAAAATTGTGGAAGTTCAAGGAGGGGGGAAGTATTATAAAAAGCTGAAGACTCTCATTAGCGAATAAATTCCATAGCGTGGCTATTGTGGGGGAAACTATAGGTTAAAAGTTTCACTCCCAATCAGATATACAACAATAATTGGTAAATGCTTGGCAAGCATTCAGCAGACCAGGTTCTGAAAGCCAGAAGCTTTACAGGTATGTCTGAAAAAAGCAAAGTGTTTGTGCCATCTGTACATGGACCAATGTTATAATTAGAATAGAGCGAACAGTGGGAAACGGAATGTTGTTTTTTTCTGAACACATCCTGGAAAAGTTTCCAATTTCTGAGCCAATTTTGAATATTGCTGAGGTGAGTTATCCCACCACTATTTCTGAAAGGTTTTAAACCACCATTTCAGAGGAACATTTCACACACAGGAAAGTTTACCCTGATCTAGTATGAGGGAGGCTAGAGAAATCACTAAATAATCCTGAAGGAAGGTGTAAGACGGGAGAGAGAGAGTGAGACAAAGTTCATATTTATTCTGGACCAAGGGCAGGAAAAGACACATAGACACAAGCAGAAACAGGAGAGGACAGAGACATGATTCATTTGTGTACAGCTATGAAAGCCACTGGAAAAAGGCCCAGCATCCTTAGTGCTTAACAGCAAACCAAAAGCCAACCACTTCCTGAGGAGAAAATGAAACTCTGATGAATGAATAAAAGACTGAAAGCTATGACCAAGGTAAATTCAAGATGTTAAAAAAAGAAACACGTAAAAACTGAACAAGAAGTGTCACTGAACCTACAAGAGGTGTTGCTGATATTCCATTGATCTTTTATGCTTCTCAAATAACAGCACAATTCTATTCATGTCTGCTTAGAAGACCTAGTCAGTTCATTGGGCGTCTTACACCCATTGTGTACATGATGCCTTCTAGATGCTGATAGACTACAAGTCCCTTCATTTATGGCCATTGGACATGCTAGCTGAGCTGAGGCTATAGAGAGTTAAGATTCCTATAGCAGGGGTCCTCAAACTACAGTCCACGGGCCAAATCCGGCCCGCCAGGGTCCTGAACCCAGCCTGCCTGGCAATTGCAGAACCCACAGCGCTCCTCCTTCCTGTTGCCTAGATGGCTACAGCCAATGTGAGCTTCCTTCCCTCCGAACCACTACTACTGCAAGCAGCTGGGTCCAATCCTTTCCGGCTACTCCTCAGACCACACTCTCCAGCCCCAGCCCACTTGGCTGCCCATCAGTCCCATCACAATCCCAGGTGTGTGTGCGCATGGGCACACCAGGGAGGGGGGGTGTGAGTGAGAGAGAGAGACTGCTGGTGCTAGTGGCAGCTCCCTCAAACCGCTGGGAAAGGACCACCAGTTCGGTGGCAGCCTTTGTGGCAACGACCACAATCCCCCCCCTCCCCACCCAGTTTCTCCTTCTCCACACATGCACCTCCTCCTCCTCCTCCTCGGTTGTCAGGCAAAGTGGGTCTGAAGGGGGAGGGACTGGCCCATGGACCAGCCAGGCCTGGAACCGAGCCCGGAGGAGCCACCGCCAAGGAAGGCTTGTGGAAATGCGGGCATAGAGCGAAGGCACAGCGGCCGTCGCCAGCACTGCAGCCGGGTCCGGGTCTCTCGCTGGAGGGCACTGAGGGAGGAGCAGCTGGATGCTGCTGCCACCGCCTCTGCCCAGAGCCTCTTTCCTTTCCTCCCTCTTATTTGGTCACCCTCCTCCTCTCTCTCTCTCTCTCTCTCTCTCTCTCTCTCTCTCTCTCTCTCATATCCCCCCCACTGAAATACTTATAAGTTTATGTTGATTAAAATTGTTCTTCATTTAAAATATTGTATTGTTTTTCCTGATTTTTGTGCACTACAGATAAAATATGTGCTGTGTGCACAGGAATTTGTTCGTATTTTTTTCAAACTATAGTCCATCCCCCAACAGTGTCTGAGGGACAGTGAACTGGCCCCCTGTTTAAAAAGTTTGAGGACCCCTGCCTATAGCATCTGAAGGGCACCAGGTTAGGAAAGGCTGATGAAGGACATCAAGAGAAAAAAACCCTCTACACTAGACTAGTTTCAAGGTTTATTCTTATACTTTCAAATGCTTAGTTCCCACGACAGTTTCTTCCAAACATGCCTAGCTGTACCACAGTGAGGAGCATGAAGAATTAAATATTCAGCACCCTGTTATAACTGCTGAGACATAGCTACAATAATTAAAGTACTAACCAATCAGAATCCCCTCTTTTTGCCAAGGAAATGACATACCTGTATAAAGAAAGGTGTTTGTATGTCCCCCAACTACAACATCCACACCTCTCACTTTCTGAGCAATGTTTTTGTCCACAGTAAAACCAGAGTGACCGAGTGCAATGATTTTGTTGACTCCTAAAGTTATAAGTTTGTCCACTTGTGGCTGTAATGCTGTAACTTCATCTTCAAATGTTAAATCCGGCCCTAAAAATCCAGAAAAAATGCATTAATGTTTTGTATTTCATTTTATTCTCACAAAATGATTTGCCAAAGCACATGAACAAATATATTATACATATATAACGTATATACTATACATAACATTCTCTCTTGGTTTAACGAGTTCCTTTCAAGTACAGTGGTACCTCAGGTTACATACGCTTCAGGCTACATATGCTTCAGGTTACACATTCTGCTAACCCAGAAATAGGTTAAGAACTTTGCTGCAAGATAAGAACAGAAATTGTGCTCTGGTGGTGCGGCAGCAGCAGGAGGCCACATTAGCTAAAGTGGTGCTTCAGGTTAAGAACGGACCTCCAGAACGAATTAAGTACTTAACCTGAGGTACCACTGTAATGGAAGTTAGACTGATACATTGCTAATTTGCTAGCTCCGTATTTCTGTGGACCCCTCATATGACAGGAAATCATTTGGTTGCTTTAGCAGAAAGGGGATGGTATTCAAATAAAATCATTGTGCAAGCAGAACAACTTCCACTTGTGCAAGGGAACATCTCCCCAAGGTCCTGACAAGAGAAGATTGGAAACAGAAGTTAATGAACTACACAGAAATGGCGAAACTTACCGGGAGAATAAGAAATCAAGGAAACAATTCTTTTTAGACAGGAATGGAAATGGTTTTTTTTTAGTATTTACAAACAAACTATAAACAGATTAAGACATTGGCAGGATTACTGTAAATACCTGCGCGCGCGCTCTCTCTCTCTCTCTATATATATGATATATACGGTAATAGATACATAAAAGAATGTGTTGAAATAATTTGGAGTATGCAGGAAGATGAAAAGAAAGGTAAAGAACCACAGAAAGAGGGGGAAAGGAGCCAGAGTTTAAAACGTTAAAATTACGATTGGATAATTGTTGTGATATATATAAATGAAACTTATAATTTAAAACTTTTTAAAAAGGGGGGGGGACATCTCCTTGCCCCCAGCACACACTGTACACTCTCCCCAAACCAGCTCTGGAGGGTAGGGGTAATATCAATTAAAACATTATGCAGCAAGCTATCCCCACAAAAATAATGCTAATAAGAAGATCCAATCTACCCTAGCCTCCAGTGTTCCAGACACTTTCAGAAACAAGAAGACCGTAAATAATGTGCCAACATCAGAGTAGAATCAGGAAACCATGTTCCCATTATTAATTTTGGAACTATTAGCAGGCTCTTTATGTTCCCATTATTAATTTTGGAACTATTAGCAGGCTCTTTATGTTCCCATTATTAGTCAGTACTAGAACAGCTACAGAACGTATTCATTCACCAAAGCATTTATGTAGCAGTTTGCTAACATGCAGTCAATCGGCAATTCCTTACTCCTGGATATGAAATAGCAGTGGATATCAGCTATTGGACATGAATGAAGAACACGTGTCTAAACAAAAATGGCTGCTCTCATTTTGGCCCCGGGTTTTATGACACTGAGCAATAGCTTAGGCTTTGTTCCATGTTCTCACAATAATAATGGAAATGATACATGAAAGGATTCCCAGAAAAGCAGAAGGCTGAGCTGCATGGAACACCATCTGGTAGCTAGTAAAGCCAACAGCCTTTTGTTCTGGGCTCTGGAGTAAAGAGTGGCATTTCCTTTTAGCTCAGAGCAAATGCAGCTTTCTTGGCCTGATGATTTTGCATTTGTACAGCCTATAAATCTATATCCTTTTGAAATTCATGCAAATGTCTTAAGTTGCTTGGACAAGGTGATTTCACAATTCTTCCCTAAGGAGGAAAGGGAGAGGTTACAAAATGCCCCAGGTCTTTCATCAGAGGACAGATGTGTTTTTTTGAAATACACATGAACAGTACAGGAAACCTAAAGATATGAATCCGAGTTAATGACTCCTGGTAGAAATTTTGGTCTAACTAATTAATCATTAAATAACCATTGGGCAGGTTTCAAATAACGAGTCCTGTTCTCTTTTGCAATGGATCTTCCTTCCCCTCCCCTCTCCTCCCCACCCACCCACTATAAGTAGCTGGGGTGTGTCAAGAGAACCCCTGGGATAGCATACATCTGGCAAGCCAAAATACCATAGATTCCAGCGAATTAGGCGACTGGGCGTATAAGGCGAAATTGCTGTTCAATTTTAGAGTTGTAGGGTTTGAGCGTCGCCGGGGCAGAGCGCGCACCGCTCCGCTGCCTCTGCAGTTGCAGCAGCAGCAGCAGCCTGAGGCGAGGCGTTTGGCGGGCGGGCGGGCGAGCGCCGCACTCGGAAGGACTTTCCGCGGCCCCTTCTGTGGAGATGGAGGAGGAGTGACGGCAGAAGGGGCGCCTCTGCTCACTGGCTTCCTCTCCTCCTTCCCAAAGCGTATACCCGGCGTATAAGATGACCCCCGACTATTGGGGTGATTTTCCAGGGATAAAAAGTCATCTTGTACGCCAGAACATACGGTACTTGTCTTGATGACTGCCTTAGCACAATGTTGAATTCCTCTCATAATCTTTGAGACCTGTCCAGATGCCTGTGACTGGATGACACATTAAGCTGATAATTAAACAAAGATCTAAATAGATGAAAACCGTGTATGTGTGTGTGTATATATATGGGGGGGGGGAGGTTCTATCCTCTGATTCCACTATAGTCACACATATCTGGTGCTCACTTTTTATCTTACTTTGAGCACCATTTAATATAATTGCTACAGGAAGAAGAAATAAAATAGGGTGGGAGTCACATGATTCAAAATAAATATATTTATTTGCATAATTTTTACATAAGCATTAAAAGAAAGAATACCTGGATTTGAAAGGACAGGTGTCTCCTTCGAGGTATAGCCAACAATTCCCACTTTTTCCGAGCCAACTTTCAGAATTTTGTAAGGAAGGAAATATCCTGTGATGTTGCTTGCTAGTTTCTTGTTTGCTTTAATGTTTGCACTTACAACAGGAAACTTAACATTTTTCAGCAGTGGATCCAATAATCCATTCACACCGTTGTCAAATTCATGGTTCCCGATTGTCTGCACAACATAAAAGAAAAGAAAAATAGAATCTCCTATTGACAAGAAGTTCCCGCAATCATGAAAAGCAAAGTACAGCATAATGACATGTTTTAAAATCTACACTGTGATCCATCCAGTTCTAACACATGAACAGTATGCTATATCCAAATAGTATCTTTTCAAGCTCTCTTACATCTATTTCAGTTCAGCTACTAATATTTGGAGGTGCATCAACACAGTTCTTCAGCCTCTGAAACGCTAAGATTTAAAAACCTGTGGCCTTCTAAATATTGATGTACTTCCACTCCCAAAACCCCCAGGCCGGTGTGACCAATGGTCAAGCCTGATGGAAGTTGGAATAAGTCCCTCAGCCCCATTTTCAAACAAGAACAGTGTCAGCATCCTCTCCAATTGTCACAATGGACTAGATTTGGAATTTTGAGCCAATGAGTAATTGTATTTAAGAATTTAAAATATTTGGAATTTCACTGGCCCTCCACAATTTCTTTAGAATGTTTAAATTTCTTTATCTTTTTGCAAGGTTCAAATCAAGGCTCTCCCATAACCACCTTTAACCAGACTGCTCACCAAAGGAACATATTTGGGTGTAGAAGTTGCCTGACTTCCGTTTCAACTATAGGGTGAGTCTTTTAAAAGAGGCTCCGTGGAACATGTGTACTCCATATCCACGGGGCCTCTTTTAAAGGACTCACCCTGTATAACTGTAAAAAGTACTTCAAGATGACAGTGCTTGCTGAAGGAAAAGAAAGGGACTTTTATCCTGCTGTCTTTATCCTTCTACCCTCTTCCTGGTTTAACTGAATGATCTTGCACCCTTTTTTCCCCTGAGCCAAAGATCAATCTGACCAATCAACACTGCACAGCATGACAAAATATGTGCTTACTCACCATGCCTTCAGCAGAAAAGATTTGGAAACGTATGTATTACACTGCAAATATATCCCTGTAATTTATTGTTCTCTTTTTTAAGACATGGTGTAACAAGCTACTATTTTTATTATTATTATTAAATATTTTCTTGTTTTACAGAAGTATGTGTAATGTCTCTCGTATTTTTTCCATGTAACATTTTTACAAATCAGTTTCATTTGATGAGACATTGGGGAGGGGGGAGGGGGAAAATGGGGGGGGTGGGGATGGGTGACAATGTTTCTATTTTGCTTAATGTATGTAGGGTTTGGTGTCAGCGTTGCTCGTGTAGGTTCTCTGCTGTTCACTTGTGTTCCTTCGGTGGTGAGAGAGGTTGGGGTTGGCCTAGGGTGTGGTTGTTCGTTTGTGATTGGCTGTGGTGATCTTTGTTTTCGTGGGTGAGTGTTTTGGATCAGGTTAGCCATATTGATTTGTGTGCTGTTGGTGGATTATTGTCATTGTCTTGTTGGGCTATGTATGTGATAAAGGGGAGCCATACCGGGGTAAAGGCGTCTTCTTCTGTTTGTCCCAGTATCAGTTTCAGTTTATTGGTTAATTTTTCTAGTAGGGCTGTTTCCCATACTATTTGGTACCATTGGTCCATGCTTACTCCTGACAGGTCTCTCCAGTGTCTGGTTATGGTGTTTCTGGCTGCTGAAAGTAGGTGGGTTATGAGTGCTTTGTGGTGTAAGTGTAACAAGCTACTCTGAAGAGCCAATATTTCCAAGCAGCTTCCTTCTACACTTTCCAGGGCAAATCGTTTCTCTGATTTCCACCCTTTTAGGCAATGACAAGGATTCTTGAAATATGAAACATACCGTTCAGGCAATGCCTGGTCTTGCATCCCTGTCCCTTCTGTGCTTAGGGCAGGATACAATGTTATAAACATGATACTGTATTCTACATGTAGTGTTACAGTGGTGCCCCGCAAGATGAATGCCTCGCAAGACGGAAAACCCGCTAGACGAAAGGGTTTTCCGTTTTTGAGTTGCTTTGCAGGACGAATTTCCCTATGGGCTTGCTTCGCAAGACGAAAATGTCTTGCGAGTCTTGAGATTTTTTTTCCGCTCCCCCCCCCTTTATCTAAGCCGCTAAGCCTTTAATAGCCTTTTAGCAGCTAATCTGCTAAGCCGATAAGCCTTTAATAGCCGCTAAACCGCTAATAGCGCTAATCCGTTAAGCCGCTAATAGGGTTGCTTCGCAAGACGAAAAAACCGCTAGACGAAGACACTCGCGGAACGGATTAATTTCGTCTTGCGAGGCACCACTGTATTAAGTTGGACTGACATGGTAGGCAGATAAACATATTTACACACCTAACCACAATATGGCTCAATAATACTTTCAGAGATGTTTGTGTCTGTTTACAGTAGGCACATTCATCTATTGTGGTCTGCATGGAAGGCACCAGATAACGCATTGTACTATGTTGCAGCGTGCTGAAGTCATGTTTACCTTCTTTTGTCCACAACAAGTGCAGTGCAGACCAAACAGAGCTGCCCACACTGTGATTTGGATGTGGAAACAAACAACTTGAAGCTACTTAAAATGCCAAGAACAAGACCTAGAATGGATTTAAAATATATGATACTTCACATGCTTAAAATAGAATGAAAGCTTGAGCAAAACAACTCAGCACTGATTACAAGCCTGATTTGACGTATTTGTCCAGATGTATTTGATCACCCAACGTTATGTGTTCCCAATAAAAGCAGATAAAATCTGTATATTATAAAAGTAGCATCTAAGCAAATAGTGAAATTTTCAGCAATGAAGTATTTAGAATCTGGCTTGGGCACATTCCAGAATTTTCTGTATGCTTTGAGACTGAAACAAACATCTGCTTTTACTTTGCACATATAATTGACAGCAGGACTCTTTCAATCTTGTACATTTCATTTCTTTTTACAGATTATTTCAAAATAGTTCCCACTATGCTTAAACAGATTTCACCAAAGAAAATTTGGGGATCCAAAACCACACCCCATGTATCTTTATGCAATAGTTTTTTTGTCATTTATCCAGAAACCAAAAACAGTAGTGCCAAGCAAAGATGGGACTGGCTTTAACTTGGCCCCCCAAATCTCCACCCTAACCCTGTGCTGCTTAGGAGAGGGAACGAGGTATGGCATAATAATCTCAAATCCGATGGCTCTGCTGTGGCATGCCAGCCAACGCTTGGATAAAAGGAGGACAAGATGTTCCCTTGCCCAGACACTGCAAGTTATATATCTACGTCTCCTGTTGTTCTCTCATCTCACAAAAACAGATTAAAAGACCTTCTCTTCCAAGAGATTTTCATATTGATCGGAATGAAAGGATGCACTGCAATTCACACCACAGAATGAGAAGAGATGAGTCCAGTATCCATCCCAGCCTTCTCTCTCACATTTTCTTTCTTTTCTTTCTTATATTCCCATTCACTTAAGTTTAGTGCCAAGTGCTTAACTCCTTGTTGCCACACTGCCTGCAGAGGTTTGATAAGTGGAACAGATGTGAGTAGGCTGTTGTCACAAAGCAAAATAGCCACCTTTCTAGATTCAGTGTCACATTTAAGAGTGTGTGTTTTTCTAGAGGCCAGAATAACGGCAAATGCTTTTCCTATGCACAACCGGCAGAAGTGTTTCCTGGAAGTATATATCCCGAGGATACAAGGGGCAACAATCATTTAATATAATCACGTTAAGATAGGATACCATGACAATTACACTGGACAAAGCTTGCAAGTTATGGAAGAAGCAGGCAGTACAGTTGTTAACAGCACTGGATTTTGGGATAGTATTAGGTGTTGGTTCACTATTTATTTCTTCATCATCCCAACAGTCTTCCCATGTGGGATTATGTTTTCTACGTCCATCTTTGGTCTTGCTCTTAATATTAGAGCAGGGCATATAGCAGTATAGTAGATGGTATTCCAAATGCCATGGTTCCAGACTTACAACTTTAAAGGTTAAAAATCTGCAGCACTTGGAATCAGCGCTGCAGCTAGGTATTTTAGACTTTGAACATAATGTCCAAAGTCTAAAACGGCATTTCAGGGGCTCCTGCTGTTTAGATGGGAATGTGTATTACTTAACTTACTTCAGTGTGTGGTAAGCCACCCCTGCTGCATTTGAAGGCCCTCCTGCTCATTCTTCTGAGTGGGGGACCCTTGATGTCTGCCCCAAAGTCCTGATCTGATGGCACTATCACTTTTATTTCTGCTCAGCAGTAGTCTGGAAGCCAGTGGAGTTTGCTAAGTAGTGCCGAGATAGGTTCATTTTTGGATATACAAATTAACAGCTTCACATATGTATTCTGGGCTTGTTATTAACACATCCAAGTCTTCAGAGGCAGTTCCATGTAACCGACAGCAGTAGCTGGATCTGATCAAAGGTGCAACTACTCCAGCACTTTCTTTCCAACAGCAGGCCTGCAGCTCCTCTGCACCCAGAGATTAGGCTAAATGATGGGAGTGCTCCATTTTTTTCTTACATGGAGGTAAGAGAATAGGCACCAGGTTGTGCTTCTCTGGAGCATCTCCTCCAAAATCCCAACCTCTTCTAGAGGAGCTTCTCAGTGGTGAGTCTGACATCTTCTGGTTGTGGCTGGCTGCTGGCCTTCTCCACTACTTAAGAAGAAAGGATTCCTCCCTTCAAGGTGTCCAGCTGATCTCTTATGGTCCACAGCTTAATTTTATTATCATTTACATGGTGCAAGTAGTGTTTACAGGATTTGAAGCGCTCAGTGTTTGGAAAAGTTGCCTCAAAGTAAAGCTGACCAAATAGAATCAAGGCGGAAAGTGGAAAAGCTGAAGGGAGATCACTGTTGTTGTTGGTTAGTATCCAACCCCTGGAACCTTGAAAAAATGGTTCAGACTCTTGCTTTTTGCTACCCTAAATAGAAGAGCGTCATTACCTCAGCCCTGAACCTGTGGCCTGCCAATAAACCACCTGAGGAGAGCCCGAGTCCCTTCAGCTATGAAGGGAAAGAAAGAAAACCGGCCTCTTCTCATGCCTGCTCAGATCTTTCTTATGGCCTCCCTCCATACTGGAGCACATCCAGTTGGGAGGATCCAATGGCGCCACAGAAAGTTTTTTTGGGAGGGGGGGAGCGTGCCAGACCCTCGCGCCCCACCTGACGGGTTTGCCCCCCTCTCTCGCCGCCCCCCCCCGCTTACCATTGCGTCATAGCCGAGGAGGTTCATGAAGCGCACCACCTCCTGCCCTTTGAAGAAGCTGAACCACACGGTGCCCTGGTACTGGTCGCCGGCGTCGAGGAGCAGCACGTTGCGCTGCGCGGCGCGCACCCGGCGGATCTCGGTGGCGCGTCGCGCGACGCCTCCGTAGCAGTCCTGCCCGTCGCATTTGCCCGAGTCGCGGCTGGTCTGTTCCACGCGGGCGTGGACGTCGTTGGTGTGCAGGATGGTGAGCTCGAAGGCGCCGGCCGAGCAGGCGCAAAGCGCGCCCAGCAGCAGCGCGCCCAGGCTCCGCGCGCAACTCTGCCCCGCGCGCCGCCGCCGCCGCTGCCTGAGGCTCTCCATGAGGGAAGGCAGCGCGCGCTCCTTGCCCCTCGGCGCACTGACTGGCACTGGGGAGCGCAGCTGCCGACAGAGGCGCTTTAGGCGCAGCCCGGCGGGGCGGGGAGGAGCTGGACGGCCGCCTCCCGCGCGCCGCCGTCCGACGCCCCCTCGAATCCTGACTAACCCCCCGCCGCGAGTTTCGCGGGTGCTGCCTGTCTGGGAAGGTCTGGCTGCTCCTTTGGAGACTCCCTTCCCGCCTTCGCCTTCCCGGCTTAGTCAACTTTTCCTGAGAGGAGTCTTGGCATCCTTGGGCACTTTTCTGGGCAGATCTGGGGAGGCTTCCTCATTTTGTCATTTATGTGTGTGAACTCCGGGCACCATCCACTTTTCCCCGCAGAAATAAACACCCCTTAAACCAGGGCTACTACTACTACTACTACTACTACTACTAAATGCAACATTACACAATACATAATTACATATGGTAATGTTTCGCTTGACATGATGTCTCCAGTCCTTGATCTGAACCCAGCTGCCAACTGACTAACCTGTTCATATTTCCACATCAACCAAAATGTTACAAAACTGAGTGTGCACCTTCCACTTTGGGCACATTCCGTTGGGCTTAGTTCCCCTAAAATACCGGTAAATTAGGGTTTTGTTTTGTTTCTTGTGGGGCAATGGAGCTCCCTTTAATTTTCCGATTTATAACTCGGAGCTGCAGTCTAAAAGGCAACAGGCTCCCCTGCGCAGTCACTTGCATTGGGGGACCCTTCCTTCGCATAACTCTGTGAGGTAGCTTAAACAGAGACACTAACTTAGAATCATAGAATTAGAAGGGACCCAGGGTTCATCTAGTCCAACCCCCTGCAATGCAGGAATCTCAGCTAAAGCCTCCATGACAGGTGGCCATCCAACCTCTGCTTAGAAACCTCCAAGGAAGGACAGTCCTTCCTTGCTTCAGGCCAGCCAATGGCCAATTCACATTGACGCTGCATGGCAAATGTTGCAGTGCCAGATATCATACAGAGTGAAGGGGAGCCAACTGCTTCCAGGCAGCGAGGGGCACTCAGTAGCTCACTGCTCCCACAGTCCATTGCCAGAGAGCCTTGGGTCAAGTGTGGCTTACTTGACTGACAAAGGGCTTGTGCATTCATGGCAGATTTCCTCCCCACTGCCACAAACCAGAAAGGACACACATATGAAACACAGTATTACTCTTTCATGTTCATTGTCCTTCCATGTAACACTGGTGAAAGTAAAGTGCTGACACGTGATTTTCCACTTGTTTACTTTTAAGTAAACCAAATGGTTATATGCGGCCAAGCAAGCCTATGGATCTAAATGGCCACTAGGGGTCATTGTAGGGGACCTGCCAATGACACCTCAAACTGCACTATTCTATCTATGTACACAATGGATATAATATCAATCAATCAGTTTATTACAGTCATAGACCAGCAGTCAGCAAATAGAAAATTAAGTGAAATATTTAGTATAGGTTAAGTATAGGAGGAATCAGCCCTGATTTTTAAGGAAATCAGCCCTGAGTGCTCACTGGAAGGACAGATCGTGAAGCTGAGGCTCCAATACTTTGGCCACCTCATGAGAAGAGAAGACTCCCTGGAAAAGACCCTGATGTTGGGAAAGATGAAGGGCACAAGGAGAAGGGGACGACAGAGGACGAGATGGTTGGACAGTGTTCTTGAAGCTACCAGCATGAGTTTGACCAAACTGTGGGAGGCAGTGGAAGACAGAAGTGCCTCGTGTGCTCTGGTCCATGGGGTCACGAAGAGTCATAGAATCATAGAATCATAGAATCATAGAGTTGGAAGAGACCACAAGGGCCATCGAGTCCAACCCCCTGCCAAGCAGGAAACACCATCAGAGCACTCCTGACATATGGTTGTCAAGCCTCTGCTTAAAGACCTCCAAAGAAGGAGACTCCACCACACTCCTTGGCAGCAAATTCCACTGTCGAACAGCTCTTACTGTCAGGAAGTTCTTCCTAATGTTTAGGTGGAATCTTCTTTCTTGTAGTTTGGATCCATTGCTCCGTGTCCGCTTCTCTGGAGCAGCAGAAAACAACCTTTCTCCCTCCTCTATGTGACATCCTTTTATATATTTGAACATGGCTATCATATCACCCCTTAACCTCCTCTTCTCCAGGCTAAACATGCCCAGCTCCCTTAGCCGTTCCTCATAAGGCATCGTTTCCAGGCCTTTGACCATTTTGGTTGCCCTCCTCTGGACACGTTCCAGTTTGTCAGTGTCCTTCTTGAACTGTGGTGCCCAGAACTGGACACAGTACTCCAGGTGAGGTCTGACCAGAGCAGAATACAGTGGCACTATTACTTCCCTTGATCTAGATGCTATACTCCTATTGATGCAGCCCAGAATTGCATTGGCTTTTTAGCTGCCGCGTCACACTGTTGGCTCATGTCAAGTTTGTGGTCAACCAAGACTCCTAGATCCTTTTCACATGTACTGCTCTCAAGCCAGGTGTCCCCAGCTTGTATTTGTGCCTCTCATTTTTTTGCCCAAGTGCAATACTTTACATTTCTCCCTGTTAAAATTCATCTTGTTTGTTTTGGCCCAGTTCTCTAATCTGTCAAGGTCGTTTTGAAGTGTGATCCTGTCCTCTGGGGTGTTAGCCACCCCTCCCAATTTGGTGTCATCTGCAAATTTGATCAGGATGCCCTTGAGTCCATCATCCAAGTCGTTGATAAAGATGTTGAATAAGACCGGGCCCAAGACAGAACCCTGTGGCACCCCACTAGTCACTCTTCTCCAGGATGAAGAGGAACCATTGATGAGCACCCTTTGGGTTCGGTCAGTCAGCCAGTTACAAATCCACTGAGTGGTAGCATAGTCAAGACCACATTTTACCAGCTTCTTTACAAGAATATCATGAGGCACCTTGTCAAATGCCTTGCTGAAATCAAGGTAGGCTACATCCACTGCGTTCCCTTCATCTACCAGGCTTGTAATTCTGTCAAAAACGAGATCAGGTTAGTCTGACATGACTTATTTTTCAGAAATCCATGCTGACTATTGGTGATCACAGCATTCCTTTCTAGGTGCTCACAGACTGTTTGCTTAATGATCTGCTCCAGAATCTTCCCTGGTATTGATGTCAGACTGACTGGGCGGTAATTATTTGGGTCCTCTCTTTTCCCCTTTTTGAAAATAGGGACAACATTTGCCCTCCTCCAGTCTGCCGGGACTTTGCCTGCTCTCCAGGAATTCTCAAAGATGACTGCCAGTGGTTCTGAGATCACATCTGCCAGTTCTTTTAATACTCTTGGATGCAGTTCATCTGGCCCTGGAGACTTGAATACATCTAAACTAGCCAAGTATTCTTGTACTATCTCCTTAGTTATTCTGGGCTGTGTTTCCTTTGCTGAATCATTTGCTCCAAATTCTTCAGGTCGGGCATTGTTTTCTTTATCGGAGAAGACTGAGGCAAAGAAGGCATTGAGGAGTTCAGCCCTTTCTGTGTCCCTTGTTTGCATTTCACCATCTTCTCCTCTGAGTGACCCCACTGTTTCTTTGTTCTTCCTTTTGCTACGGACATACCCATAAAAGCCTTTTTTGTTGCTTTTAACCTCTCTAGCAAGCCTGAGTTCATTCTGTGCTTTAGCTTTTCTGACTTTGTGTCTACACGTGCTGGCTATTTGTTTGAATTCCTCTTTGGTGGTTTCCCCCCTTTTCCATTTTTTGTACACATCCTTTTTAATCTTAACTCAGTTAAAAGTTCTTTAGATAGCCACCCTGGCTTCTTTAGGCACCTTCCATGTTTCTGTCTCATTGGTATTGCCTGACGTTGTGCTTTTACTATCTCCCTCTTAACAAACTCCCAGCCATCATGAACTCCCTTTCCTTTTAGTCTTACTGTCCATGGGATCTCACCCAGCACTTCCCTAAGTTTTATGAAGTCAGCTTTCTTAAAGTCAAGAAATTGAGTCCTAGTATGCTTGGCTGCTCCTTTCCGCTGTATAGTAAACTTCAGAAGAGCATGATCACTCGTGCCTAATGATCCTTCCACTTCTACCCCACTAACCAGGTCATCAACATTGGTTAGGACCAGATCTAAAATGGCTGTTCCTCTTGTTGCTTCTCCCACTTTCTGGACAATGAAGTTGTCTGCAAGGCCAGTGAGGAATCTGTTTGACCTTATGCTCTTGGCTGAGTTTGACATCCAACAAATATTTGGGTAATTGAAGTCCCCCATTACTACTATCTCCTTCCTTTTGCATGCTTGGCCATCTGTTCCAGGAAGGCATCATCTATGTCCTCCGTTTGGCTTGGGGATCTATAGTAAACTCCCACAGTGAGGTCACTGTTATTCTTCTCTCCCTTAATTTTGACCCAAATGCTCTCACTTTGACTTTGAGGTTCTAAATCTTGGATCTCTTCACAGGTATACACATCCCTGACATATAACGCCACTCCTCCTCCTTTCTTGTCTGGTCTGTTTCTCTGAAATAGATTGTATCCCCCCATTATTACATTCCAATCGTGGGACTTATCCCACCAGGTTTCAGTGATGCCTATTATGTCATATTTAGTTTGCTGTACCAAGAGCTCAAGCTCATCTTGTTTATTTCCCATGCTTTGCGCATTAGTGTACAGACACTGAAGTCCATTAATCATTCCCCGTGACTCTTATTTAAGGATTTTTCCTCCCACCACTAGGTCTGTGTGCTGTTTGCTCCATTTGGTCTATGACATTTGGATGATCATCTTCATCAATTGATAGACTCCTACCTTCAGGAGCACTGTCTCCCTCCCCCCATTAGTCAGTTTAAAGCCCTCCTGATGAGGTTTCTGAGATTTTTGGCAAAAACATTTCTCCCAACCGTTGTGAGGTGCAGCCCATCGCTTGCCAGAAGTCCATCTTCAAGAAACTGCAGTCCGTGATCTAAGAATCCAAACCGTTCCTGTTTACACCATTTGCGAAGCCAGCTGTTCACTTCCACTATTTTTCCCTCTCTCCCTGGGCCACGTCGTTCAACTGG